TGAGAAAATGCAGCTCATTCATCACCAACAACATGAAGAGCACAAGCTAAGGGGATTTCTTACTTATGGAATAAAATCATTCTCATGACAGGATAAATGATAAATTCCATTAAGTAATTCTTGGTTATAATCACTTTCTGTTCGCTCAGATTTGTAGCCACTCTTCACATTTTTGTTAAACGCTATTAAAATAATCTATGTGCATGACTAATTTCTCATCTTTTTTATTTAAAAGTAAAATCTAAAAAAATTCTCATTTAAGGGCACGTATTCCAAGTATGCACAGCAGAAGAGAACTGCCTTTCCTATATATTGTCCTACAGGAGAAAAAGTGTAAAACTTTTTCTTTAGTTCACTGTACGTATGCAATTTTACCAAGATTACTTAAAAACAATAAAACATCTTTGTATCCTCTCTTGCAAAAAACAAGAAAAAAGTTACAGAATCAAAGAGTCCCGGTTTCAAAGAATAAGTGTAGTTTCTGAACATTTTACTAACTTCCATAACGCCATGTGCATTAATAGATAAAATAACTGTCTCTAAAAAACAAAGGCGGCCTTGGGAAAGTGCCCGTAAGTTGGTATTCAGGAGTGCCCAGGAAAGTGACATCCATCTTTAACCACATACAGTTAGTCCTCTTTCACTTTTATATGTGTATGCCATTACTTCTCGAGATATGCACTTAAATATTTGTAAGATCTTTCATACTTGAGAAAAATCAGATTTATTATGCCTGCATGTACTGCTATTAATTGATTTTAATACTTATGTAAACCAGACATGCAGCTAAATTATTCTACATACAGAACTCAAGGTATTACACACAATCATGACGTTGTTGCACTCTACTGCAAAGCCAAATAATTTCTTCTAGTATCAAACTGGATTCAGTTTTAGTTCACTGTTTAAGGTCTTTTGCCCAGGATCCATATCTCAGTTGTTGTTGTTATTCTTCATTATGGTCTGATCCTGTTCCTGACATTAGAATCTCATTACTACTAATACAAACTTTCAGGCTGATTGGCTTGCTTGATTCCAGAGAAAACTTTAGAGAAAATAAGGTCCCAATTTCATGTCAGAAGTTCTTAGAGATACATTGGATATAGATCCTGTTTGGATAATCATATCAAAGCAAGCAATTAACTCATATTTTTCAAGTCTCACATCCTTACAGAGACCTCTTTAACTACTGAACACCCAACATGAAGAAAGGAATCCGGGAGTAGCAGAACTCGACAAGAGGGGATGGGCAGCAAGGAGAAGGGCAAAAAAATTGAAAATATATTTGCAAGGATGTTAGAACAGTAACAACTTGACTTCCATACCTGCTGTTTCAAAAAAAATGCAGCAGAACCACCCAAACCAGCAGGACAGACAGAGAGACAGGATATGCATTTTTTGGCAATCAACCTTCATTCAGATGCCTGAATCCATAGAATAGGAACACCTAAACATTGCAACAACCAGATCTAATTTATTTCTGATTAATCCTCTAGCTTCTTATGATATCTGGGTCAAACCTAAACATTAAATCTATGCAACAAGGGAGGAAAAAAAATTGAACATGTGCTGGAGCAGCAATCGGGGAATTCCAGAGGTACTTCCTGTTACTGGTGTTGTATTCCTGCATCATATAGCTTTCTACCATGACCCCAGGAAGGCACATTTGCCCACCCATGCAGAAACTCTTTAGTCTTTTCATAAGAGAATTTAATTCACAAAGCATGAACAGAGCAAGAACTGCCTCTGCCTATATAGCTATTATATCCCTGCTGAAATCACCATCTGCACTGATGTCAGACAGCTATGCTAAAAAAACATGAACTCATTTCAGACAAACAGAAGTCGTAGTCACTGGCTTCTCAGCACAGCTGGGTGAACAATTAGAGTCACCACTGTCTGGGCAACTGCACAAATGGGCTTTCAAACAGCCAGAGAGAAGAAAGGGCTTGTGTTGCTCTCATCTGTCGACTTGTTGCTTTATGGCATCCTGCATTGTTAAAATATGCCCCTCAGCCCCTCAGTGCATCAAGCTATAAAGTTTGTACTGGGGCCAGATCAAAATGCCAGCCACCACACAAACACTACCAGAGGGGCAGGTGCAAGGCTTGTATGCTCCTGTGGCAAGCATAGACATCCAGACTGCTCCTCTAGTCAGGATGGTGCTCCTCAACACATTCATCCCAAGCGCTTGAGGTTTTGGCATAGAACAGTTGCATTGGTTTTCATTTATTAAAATATGTGGATTGTTGCTCGATGTGAATGAATCATTTATAAGCAGGGTAGTGATGTCTGCTTGTGTCTGTAGGCTGTCTAGGACTTTGAGATTGGGATCAAGTGGAGGCGGGTCTGGCATTACTGTGTATAAGGGTCAAACAATCCTGCTATAGACAGAGACAGAGATTCCCCCTACATTCTTTTGCACAGACCAGTCTCTTTGGGGAATGGACTCTGGCATGGTAACTTCCCCATTTCCTTCTTCAAAACACCTGCAAAGCCAGAAGTTAACTTGAGATATGTTTGGGACATTCAAGGCATGCTGACTGTATCCCCGCTCCTGACAGCAGTTTCCTGCTGGATCCTTCAGAGCCCAAGCTCGCTTTCAGTCTTCCTCACATAATGCAGCAGGTGAGGAAAACTCTGAACCAGTCACATGGAAGTTAAGCACAGCTATTCCAGATTCACAGGGACATCACCCACACAAGTGTCTGGCTATGAGTTGCCAGTTAATGCTACTTGCAGTGAGTATTGTCCTGTGGATAAAAACAGAGATAACTTTGCTTTTCCCTAAAACTTCAACAAATCAGATAAAACCTGTCCGAAACAGTGAGTTCTTCCATCTTCAGAAACCAAGACAGCTATACTTTGTTTCTTGTCTTATGAAGTTGTCAGGGACTTATATCAGGTTTTCATCTACTTGTTGAGGTCAGCTGCAATGTGAGCACAAGAGACTGGACAGGAGTTAAGAGAAAGTTTGCATACCACCACATTTTTTCATTAGGTACCCTGGTAAATTTCCGATAAGTCACAAAAAACCTGTCTAGGAAGACAATATTGCTCGTGGCAGCTTTACAGTGCTTCTTCAATGAGCAATAGATAAAAAAACTAACTCTCAGTGTTTCACTTGCCAGAGTACTTTTTGAAGATATTCTAGAAGTTCTCAGTGTTAGACCCAAAAATGTCTATTGAGTTCCCTGCTTTACAGTGGACTTGGAACCAGTAAGGACTACATTTCTACTGCTGGTGCTATAGTTTGTCATCAACAAACTAAACTTAAAGGCCGATTTGATGGCTTTCTTATTAATGCTCTGTAGCCTGATAGAGTTTTACCCACTAGCTACAGCTTGCTAACCAAGAGCAGGATGCAATACAAATTTCATGGCTTTTAAGATTTGAGGCTGAGGAGACAGGTTCCTTCAGGCTGATTTGTACTGATCCACAAGTGGAAAATGAGGACAAGCAATTTGCCCAATATCACAGAACAGTTATATAGTATAACCACATTGACCTGGTTATTACTGGAGCTCACAACCTTCTAAGAAATACATATTTAGTAGTCTCATTAGCAAAACATTAGTTAGTTAAGTCTTCCATCTTAAAGATTTACAGCATTTAAATCAGACTACCTCTGCTTACTTGCAGATAAGATTACAATCTAATCTTGAAATACACAGCCCTTGCTTTTCATGCAACACAATTCAACCTTAACATTTAAAGAACACTGTGAAGTGATTCAGCACACAGCACTTCCCTTCAGCACACAGAAGAGAGAGATTTTGTGCAAGGCAGACCTTAAATACAGAGGATATGCTCCTTCTGAGTTACACAATTTCTGATCAACAATAACAACTACTTCCCTCCTCCCAAAGCCACTCCTCAGCAAAGACACGCAACTACAATCAAAATAGATCACATCATTTCCTTTCTATTTTTTCACTTTTAAAAGCTAAAGTTCAAGCTGTCTGATTAATGACACCAGTGAGACATATAACAGTATTTACACAAGTAGGTTTCGCATCTATGGTGAGCTACCTAGAGCTGAGTTACAGGATATTAGCTCAACTCTACTGCTGAAAACAGCTTTCAAGTTCCAGTACCTGGAATAGTACAAAACTTTACCAATAGCTGCAAGTGTCCAGCTACACATCCCAGGAGATCTCCTTTTTAAGTATGGATTCAGTTCTGCACAAGCTTCATCATTCTGGTGTGCAAAGACAGGTTTTATCAACTTCAGTGACAATTCTGTATATCCAGGGGAAGAAATTGGTCCATACATGCAATTCAGATCAGCAGATTCTCCTAAATACCTGACAACCTGATTTTCAAAGGACTAAGGGCATTAGGGCACATTTCCAAATTGCTCTTAGAAGCACCAGCTTTCTCACCAGCTTTGGCATGTAAACCTATAACACAGTTTTGGAAGACTCTTCCTAAAAGCTAGGTATTAGAAATATAGAGAGAAACATGCAAAAGCTAACTTGTGCCTGTCATCCAAAAATTACAAAACACGTCATTGAAACACATCTTTAGGCAAAATATAGAGGATGCCTAACCTTTACAGAAACTATTAAAGCAGCTGTATATTGATGGTATTCAGATGGCTAACTCCTGACAGCACTCAGACTTGGAGTTGGTTCAAAACGCCTCATTGTAGCAGAGACGTCCACAGGCAGGTGTGGAACACTGTTTGCCAATCTGTGGTTAATGGCGTTAAATAAAAGGAAACCAAAAAACAAACATAATTTAATTTTTTTTTACATAACTCGGCTAAGGAGCTAGGGTGGAGTGAGAGAAGCACTTCGTAAAGCCTGGTTTTTTTAAGCCACATTTCAACCCTCACCATAGCAATAGCTTTGTCACTGAAATGATACTGCAGTGAAATACCACTGTGCACCATATTAAAACTCAAAAGGAAATCAACAATGGACATACTAGCTAAGGTTGTGTTCTACTTTAGTCAAGAATGTATTTCAAGGCTCAAAACTGTAAGCATTACTTACTCACACAGAAGAATGCCGTTTTCTAATCCAGAACGAAAATCTTTCTCACCAAAACTTCTCCCGGTCACTTGCTGTAAGAGTAGAGAGAAACAAATGAGTGCCATCTATTAGAAAGTGAGCTTTACAAGTGCAACTCATAATATTCAGTTAGAGCATCTGCTGTGTAAGGAACATTTGAGCTTTGCAGGCCTTGCAAAGGACTAAGTCATGTCCATTTCTCCTTCCCATTTCATCAAACTATTTAACATATAGGACAAATTATTTGCTCCAGCCAGTGAAATTGCAGATTATAAAAGAACAGTTTTCTAGCAGTAAAAACCAAAAATGACAAAACAAAATCTACAATGTAATCTTCAGCATAATTTAGAAGTTCTATTTTGTAGTGCTTTGAAATTTAAAACTATTGTATTTAGACAAACTATGTGTTTTTATTGCTTTTTTTGCATCGCATTAAACATTTTGTACTGGCCTTGAGCTTTAGTCCTTAACTTACCATCTTTATAGAATAAGCAAATACAATTGAAAGAACTGGCATGAGTTGTAGCCCTTCAGACACATGCCTCAATAATCATGGTCATATTAAAAGATACCACATCAGCAATTCAACCATGAGTGTTAAGAGAATACAAACTCAGTGGAAGCTAAGGGTCCCCCCAGGTACACTCAGACCAGGAGGTACACTTTGCCTCACAAGCTCTTAAGCCAGTCTTGCTGCTTAGGGATGGACCATCTAGAAACCTTTCAGGAATGCCAATCTTGCCTAAGGGCTCTGGATGCTACAAGCATGAGTGGACCCTCATTTTTGACTCACTACTATATAGAGAATGTCTTGCCATTCATCCTCCTATCATTCTCAACAGATGATATGTTCAGTTAAAAGTAAAAAATACTTTTTATTATCATAACAAAAGATATAAAAATAGTTACTATGTTTAGAAAGCACTGAACAGAAACAATACAAAGAAAAAAAACGTTTTAATTGTCCTACAGGAGGTCTTCTCTTTACTCGGGCAAAACATTTACCGGATGCTTATAGAGTTCTCATTGGCTTGCATCCAGTCTTTCAGCAAGACCTTTTCTCTGTGTGTTGCTTCCACCATAGAGAACGGTGACTTGGGGACACATCTGTCATTATGTCCCTGTTTTCTCCTTGCTATTATATGCAGATATAAGACCCTTCCCCTCCTAGTTTCCTGTCATAAAGACAGCAATTTATAAAAACTGACAAGTTTGGCACTGTCCCACAGGATTAGCAAATGCGTCAGTTTCAGAAATGCTGGTTATAGCTGTGCAGTCTTGGACAGAGAGCAACACTTTTTAAATTGAAATGCAAATGCAAAGCCTAAAATCTCATCCTTCCTTAAATTATATACATATTGTTTTGTTCAACGTGAAGGAAGTTCTTCTATACTCTGAAAAATGTATCATAAGGGCGTCTGTGGAGAATCATATCTTATGCAAATGCATAAAGTAGAACAAGGCACTGTGTTGCATTCATATCTCTGAAGAAACCACATGTAATTTGTGGTAAATGACCTTTAACCATTTAAACTATATCTAGCCATAGTAAATCATCTCTAATCTTGATCTGCTGGGACACGGGGAAATTATGACAATAAACCATTAGCATTTAGGATGAATTGTAGGTGGAACACATCAAAACTGAATTTTGTTTCATTCACAAGATACAGGACAGAAAAGAGTAGGAAGAGCTACTTCATAGCAGCCTGACTCCAAGTGATTTTTTTCATCCATGAAAAAATTAAAGAAAAATTACAGTCATCCTATTTTACTCCTCAACACCAAATGTCCCAGACATGGAGCTTTCTTATGCCTTTGTTGAAGACCCTCATTTAGCAGGGAGCAGTACTGAAACTGTTACCACAATTCAGGTAGGAATCTACCTGCCAAAAGCTGTCACATGAGTATTGCTGTTATTACTGATGATGCAGGAAGGTTTTATACATAACTTCTGTCTGCACAAATAAAATCATGAAATACAGATGCACAGCTGGTACATGAATTCATCCAGTGAGAGGTACAACACGCACTGACAGGAGGTGAGGAAAGACAGGAAGGTCCAGGAACAGTGCATGTCTGTTTGAAAAGGAACTGAAAGTAAATGAGGCATGGCAAGGTTTATGCCTGTTCTAGATGATGCAGCTGCAGAGGGAAAACATTAATCACCTGCAAGTCTCCTGATTTAGTCAATTAAAACGTAAAAACAGTTCAACAGAGAAAGGCTAGAAACTAAAAATAAGCACGAAGATGACATTATAAATGACAAAGATAAACTCAAAATGGACTGAGAGAAGCAAGAAGGTGGATCCACCTTCTCCAGAGGAAATGAGAGCTCAGTTGCTTGGCGCACACATGTACATACATCTCCCTCTCTGCAGGGGCCACTTTGGGCCATGCCTTCATGCACAACTACTGCAGGCCCACAGGCCAACCTGGTGCACATTGCTGAGATATCCTCTGCTCAGCACACCCAGAGCAGGAGGAGACAAAGGGACTTTAAGCAAAAGGATTGGCGCTCTTATATTTGCACACAAAGAATCTCTCAGCAAAATGCATACTTTACCCAAACTCCAGCAAAAATAAAAAGTTCTTACTGTTCTTACTAGCTTATCTTCCATCTCAGGAAATAAAAGCCTACAGTTTGCTGGATGAAACTCTGAAATCACTGACAAACAAGGACTAAAGGACAGCATTTGCAGTGCTTCTACTGAGCTTCACTGGAAAAAAGGAAATTGTTCACCTGAAACCAAGTACAGAAAACTGCAAAATGGAAGAATAAATCTTTAGCCCATCAGCTTTCACAGTACAGAGAACTGGTGTTCAGAACTGAACCTGCACAAAAGCAGCCATGAACAGATGCAAGACACTCTCTATCCTGGACTGCTGTCTTCAGGAAAGGAAAAAAGTACAGTAACACCAAAAGCCAAGATGTTAACTGAGAGAACTTTTGAGAACTGGCCTTTCTTTACAAGGCCTGGTTTCCAGACTGCCACATCTTACATGCTTTGGAGACACAACTCCATCTTGCACTCTTCCCACCTCACTGGTACTGACCAGTGCACTTAGACAGTGCAGGAGGAAGTAGGATGGATGGAAGAATTCTCTATCCACTCTGCAATGGCAGCATAGTGTAATTCTTGCAGTGCCAGGGTGCCAAAGTTAGAACAAAGTACCTTAAAGACAAAACACACACTGCATCTTTGCTAATGATTAGCAGAACAGCCTCTGACTTCTCTAATAAGTTCAATAAAGCTGAGTGGAAAAAAGTTGCATTTCCCTGTCATACTGGAAATTAAAAATAGAGAACAGAAGCAAAACAGTATCATTTATTGCTGTTTGCTTCATTTATGTGAGGAGGCCTTTTTATTCATCATCTGGATGATATTTTCTTCTCTGTAAAAAGCTACAAGTGTCGCAACCAAGGCAATTATTTGAGTGCCGGGTGCATTTCTCAGTTTCCCTGTCACTTAAGAGCAGAATATGAACCTAAAATGAGTAATCTAAGTTTTTAATGGCAACAGCTTTAATACATATCTGCATACAGTAACACTCGGTATATATTGTATTTTTGTTGATTAACTCTTTTGTTCTTTGGAGTTACACATGCTATGAAATTTATATCATCAAGGATGGCTGTCTTCCAGCCACTAACCATTGCCATATTGTACGATTTTATTTTCCCAAAGCTTCAGTTGTTATTGTTTTCCTTGCATTTTATATTGCTGCTGGTGCTTCCTGAGATGGAGCTTGCAAAGCCTCTCATGTCTAAACAGCTTGGGGGCATGAAAAAGAAAAGGTGACAAATTAGTGAACAGGTGCTGGCCCCAGGTGAAATTTATCTAGGCAAACAAGATATAAGTAGTTGAATAAACAATTGGTCATCCGGGATAGCACACTGAAAATACTTAGTTTCATTTTCTATGGGCACATCTAAAGATGCCATGTTATGCAGTGAAAAAGATTAGAGACACAGCAAAAAGAGGTCTTTGTTTCTCATTACACGTTTTTGAGAGCTTATGAAGCATGACAGTAAAGAGAGGAAGATTTTCAAAGTGTTTCATAAGCTGTTCATTTCTTTTTATGTATGTTGCCTTTCCATTTTGTGCAACCATTATTCTCTCCTAAATTTTTTTTCCTTAAATGAAAAAATGACGCCCTGACTTAAGTAGAAATATATAAAAGTAAGGCTTAAACTGTAATAATCAGGTATGTATATAGAAAGCCTTGGATTGTACAAGCAACAGGGAACACAAACCACCAAAAGAAGCATGATAGCTATTAGGGCATCCTAAGATCCTAAGATTTGGCTCCTCTAGAGTAATAAAGTCCTATTTCCCTGTTTCTGAGTTATAATCTGAGCTAATAAGATGAATATACAAGTTAAATTCCATTTTCATATAACATAGGCAAGAGATTTCTGTACTAAACAACCCAGATCAGTTAAAGCCAGCTTCACCTTTGCAGCCCAGAATTCCACCACATTGCTCTGACAGTGCAATGGAGCCTGGAGACCCTTCACTGGCTCCTGCTTTGCCCACCTATTGATCATGCAATGTGTCTGTCTGCAAAAGTGGACACAACACATCATCTAGGCATGAGTTCCCTCTCTCTTACCACACAGAGGCATTTTAATTGCTAAAAATCATAGCAATGTAAACCAGTCCCAAGCACCTTTATTACAAATACTAGGAAGATAGTTGATTTAGTAATGAGAAATTTAAAGATTGCATGAATGGAGTCTTCCAGGGACAACCACTGGTCTAACATAACTGTCTTCCAGGAAAGCTGAATGATGACAAGCACTCTGCTCAATGCCTTCCACGGCTTTACAGGATTGAGGTAATTTGCCACTGAAATCAGTAAAAGAACAAACAAATATCTGTAGTGTGTAATTCTACTCTCAGGGACAAAACCTGCAGGAGCTCAGAATAACTAATGTGGCCAGCAATGAATCACCTGAAATTTTACGATACAGAACTTGAAAATTTAAAGAATACATGGGAGAATGACAGGAGATTTCACACTTGGGGAACAAAATTAATCTGCAAAG